GGCGCATTCTCCTTGGGGCTTGTTTTACTGGGGTTATATTCATGTCCACCCCGAGTTTATGGACTGCAACCTCTGCTGACAGTCCTGACATTTCATCGTAGCTCCATGCGAAACAATCTTTAAATTCTGCTAATAGTTTGATCAGTTCTGCAGATTCTTTGTCATCTAGTCGAGAACTTATAAATGTAGGTTGGGGTCATTCTTCAGTCCCAAGGTTAATCTCTTTCAATTCATGCACAGTAGATTTAATTTCTTCCTCAAATTCTGGGGGAGCATCTTCTATTGGTTGATCAGTAGAGTCATCCTCTATATCGGGGCAATCCTCTTTTGACTCACCAGTAACAATCATGCAAAATTCAGAATTATCGACTGGTCCGACTGTACCAAATCTGAGACCCTCTTTTGAATTTGGAGTTCAACTTTTACCATTCCATAGTTTTTTCAAAAAGTTGAAATTTATCTTTTAGCATTTATTTTGGTAATGTCCCTGCTAAATTAACTTTTTAACACAAGGCGAGAAGTAACCAAAAGGCAATTCCATTAATTCATTAGAATCATCATCGAAATTTATATGTTTTTCAAGCTCAGTAGAGGTAGAAGCACAGTAACATTTGATCGGCTTGGAACCAACGCTACGAACTTCCTTGACCTTTAAACTCTCGATCTTTTGAGGGAGAATCGGGGTGAGGGTCATAGCATTCACATAGTGGTTTATCCGATCATACATTGTTTCATATTCATTCTTTTCTGTATCTTCTAGGGATATCTCGTACTGAGGTCTCTTCTCCGCATCCCCGTCCTCGACCTTGGGTGTGTGAACTAGAAGAACCTCCACCAACTCGTTGTAGGGGAGTGGTAGAAGGTTGTTGAAGCGGAGTTGTATGGCCTTCTTTTTTTTATTCTCCTGAATCTTCATCTTTGTTTGTCAAAATCTCGCGCGAGAAGACAGTCTTCTTTAGAGGCGCGTAGTAGGAAGCATCTTCATGGATACCAACTTCACGCACTGAAAATGGTTGTAGGCCTCCCTTGATGCAATTTTCCTGACCATCTTTGCGATATTTCATGCACTGGTGTAGGGATGATGGAACCATATTGTGCTCGTGAATCCATGATTGACACAATAGAGCTTTAAAAGAGGTCTCGGCATCGATGATATGAAATTTAACGGTTGTTATGAGTTATCCGACCTTCATAAGTAATGAAATTGATCCAAGGGCTCTTTCTCCCTTTTGGTTGAATCCTCTGAACATCATCTTATCGGGGATGAGCTCCTGAATGTCGAAGTCCAAATATGCTAACGTCCGTAGACT